GTATCCAAGCACTTGCAGACAAAATGATCTTCAGAGAAGAGAAAAAGCATCCTTTAGCTTTTTCAAGACCACCAGAACCAGAAAAGGAGATTTCAAACACACACCCACTCTTTCTTTAGGGTTTTTTATTTTCAATTTTTTTTTTCTGTTTAAATCTTGTTTCTTTTTATGGCTTGTGAAATTTCCTGGGAACCCTCCATCTCTCTCTCTTATGGGGTTTCTGTGCGTTGAGTGATGAGGTAATATGGAATTTTGTGTATGGATGATGATGATGATGGTATGATGATGATGGTATGTGGTTTGGGTGTCTAAATTTAGTGGGGAAGAAGGGATGCAGAAGCAACCCCACAAGCAATTCCTTGTTTCCCTCTCAAAAGACTAAAAATTAACCAAAAATCTTTGCCCTAACTTTAGCCCCCTTTGCCACTTTCCCCTTCTTTCTTGCCTTTTCGTTAGGGTTTCTTGTGGGTCTCTCTTTTTCCCCCATTTCTCTCATCTTTTATTTTTGACCCAAACACCTTATTTTTGTTTTTCTGTATAATAACACAATCTCTCTATCTAGAGAGAGAGATGTATCTGTGTTCGTGTGTCTCTATGTGTATCTCTGTATCTATCTATCTGCTTTCTAGAGAGAGAGAGAGAGATGTATCTATGTTCGTGTGTCTATACATGTGTATCTCTGTATCTATCTATCTATCTGCTTATGTCTCTCTCTCTCTCCCTAATTAATTTTCTCTTTTATATATATATATATATATATCCCTTGTCTTCCTTTCTCAGTCTCCTTCAATCCCTCTCCACCTCTCTCTCTCCCCTGAAACCCCAACCTCATCCTCATGCATCATTTCATTGGATTCTCAGTACCCTATTCTATTTTGTTCCAAGAAGTGTTCATTTTAGGGGGTGAACAATACACAAATTCCTCAATCAAAAGAGGAAAAGGTCATCACCACATGTGAATACATGCAAATCATATACGACGTCTAGATGCATATATGCTCGTCATGTAGATTTGCCTTTTCCTCATTGCGTGGTCGTCGATTGGTTTTTTCATATAATCACACACCTGTGTATGTAATGCAAATTTATTTTAATTTCCAGGGCACAGGAAGGCTTTTATCGTACATGAAATGGCATGGAAACATGTACGCGCTCATAACATGACGTATATATAAGCATCGATGCATGTATGCATGTATATATACATATGTATGCCTGGCTCCCTGTATGCCATATGCTGAGCCCACCGAGCATCGATGGCCTCCGCGGATGGCGTATGAGGAGCCATGCATATCTCATATATTATGTATATATCGACATAGACATAGTTACTTACACACACACACGTATACGTGCACGTACGTATAGATGTATATATCGACGATTTTTCTCTCTAGTTTCTATTTTGGTACAAAGGGCGTTAGAGTTGGTTTGCAGACTTCTTGGTTCGTTGTACAGCCTGAGCAGAAGCTATGCCGAATCTTCAGGTACTTCACTCCAAATCTTGCGCTTGGTTAATCAATTAGCTGATTAATTAATCAATTTCTATATGTTATATATTCTCAAACTGTTCGTATGGCTTTCAAAGAATTTCTAATACATTCTGATTCTCGTAGAAGCTTCAATTGATTCAAATTTTTGTCCTTAGTTTTCCTTCTCAATATGTTATACGAGGTAAATTAATTATTAGGTATTTTATACCTGTTCTGTTCGGTTATGTTTATATCACTCCGTAATTACTGTGTTTTGTGTGTATGTGTGTATATATATACATATATATATATATATATATATATATA